ATAATCAATCCTGATACTATCACTAATAACTGACACAGCGCCCCAGAGAGACAGTAATAATAAACAGTGACTAAACTGTAATAATCAATCCTGATACTATCACTAATAACTGACACAGCGCCCGGGAGAGACAGTAAAAATAAACAGTGACTAAACTGTAATAATCAATCCTGTTACTATCACTAATAACTGACACAGCGCCTGGGAGAGACAGTAATAATAAACAGTGACTAAACTGTAATAATCAATCCCGATACTATCACTAATAACTGACACAGCGCCCGGGAGAGACAGTAATAATAAACAGTGACTAAACTGTAATAATCAATCCTGATACTATCACTAATAACTGACACAGCGCCCGAGAGAGACAGTAATAATAAACAGTGACTAAACTGTAATAATCAATCCTGATACTATCACTAATAACTGACACAGCGCCCGGGAGAGACAGTTATAATAAACAGTGACTAAACTGTAATAATCAATCCTGATACTATCACTAATAACTGACACAGCGCCCGGGAGAGACAGTAATAATAAACAGCGACTAAACTGTAATAATCAATCCTGATACTATCACTAATAACTGACACAGCGCCCGGGAGAGACAGTAATAATAAACAGTGACTAAACTGTAATAATCAATCCTGATACTATCACTAATAACTGACACAGCGCCCGGGAGAGACAGTAATAATAAACAGTGACTAAACTGTAATAATCAATCCTGTTACTATCACTAATAACTGACACAGCGCCTGAGAGAGACAGTAATAATAAACAGTGACTAAACTGTAATAATCAATCCTCATACTATCACTAATAACTGACACAGCGCCCGGGAGAGACAGTAATAATAAACAGTGACTAAACTGTAATAATCAATCCTCATACTATCACTAATAACTGACACAGCGCCTGAGAGAGACAGTAATAATAAACAGTGACTAAACTGTAATAATCAATCCTGATACTATCACTAATAACTGACACAGCGCCCGGGAGAGACAGTAATAATAAACAGCGACTAAACTGTAATAATCAATCCTGTTACTATCACTAATAACTGACACAGCGCCTGAGAGAGACAGTAATAATAAACAGTGACTAAACTGTAATAATCAATCCTGTTACTATCACTAATAACTGACACAGCGCCCGAGAGAGACAGTAATAATAAACAGTGACTAAACTGTAATAATCAATCCTGAGACTATCACTAATAACTGACACAGCGCCCGGGAGAGACAGTAATAATAACCGGTAACTAAACTGTAATAATCAATCTGATACTATCACTAACTAACTGACATACGGCGCCGGGAGAGACAGTAAAATAAACAGTGACTAAACACAACAACCAAATCAATCTGATACTATCACTATGCTTGACACAGCGCCTGGAGAGAGACAGTAATAATAAACAGTGACTAAACTGTAATAATCAATCCTGATACTATCACTAATAACTGACACAGCGCCCGAGAGAGACAATAATAATAAACAGTGACTAAACTGTAATAATCAATCCTGTTACTATCACTAATAACTGACACAGCGCCTGGGAGAGACAGTAATAATAAACAGTGACTAAACTGTAATAATCAATCCTGTTACTATCACTAATAACTGACACAGCGCCCGGGAGAGACAGTAATAATAAACAGTGACTAAACTGTAATAATCAATCCCGATACTATCACTAATAACTGACACAGCGCCCGGGAGAGACAGTAATAATAAAAAGTGACTAAACTGTAATAATCAATCCTGATACTATCACTAATAACTGACACAGCGCCCGAGAGAGACAGTAATAATAAAAAGTGACTAAACTGTAATAATCAATCCTGATACTATCACTAATAACTGACACAGCGCCCGGGAGAGACAGTAATAATAAACAGTGACTAAACTGTAATAATCAATCCTGATACTATCACTAATAACTGACACAGCGCCCGGGAGAGACAGTAATAATAAACAGTGACTAAACTGTACTAATCAATCCTGATACTATCACTAATAACTGACACAGCGCCTGGAGAGAGACAGTAATAATAAACAGCGACTAAACTGTAATAATCAATCCTGATACTATCACTAATAACTGACACCGTGCCTGGAGAGAGACAGTAATAATAAACAGTGACTAAACTGTAATAATCAATCCTGATACTATCACTAATAACTGACACAGCGCCCGGGAGAGACAGTAATAATAAACAGTGACTAAACTGTAATAATCAATCCCGATACTATCACTAATAACTGACACAGCGCCCGGGAGAGACAGTAATAATAAAAAGTGACTAAACTGTAATAATCAATCCTGATACTATCACTAATAACTGACACAGCGCCCGAGAGAGACAGTAATAATAAAAAGTGACTAAACTGTAATAATCAATCCTGATACTATCACTAATAACTGACACAGCGCCCGGGAGAGACAGTAATAATAAACAGGACTAAACCGTAATAACTGAACCTGATACTAATACTAATAACCGATACAGCCCGAGACAGTAAATAACAAACAGTGACTGAAACTGTATTGACCGAACCTTGTTACCATCACCAATAACCGACACAGCCTGAGAGACAGTAATAATAAACAGTGACTAAACTGTAATAATCAATCCTGATACTATCACTAATAACTGACACAGCGCCGGGAGAGACAGTAATAATAAACAGTGACTAAACTGTAATAATCAATCCTGATACTATCACTAATAACTGACACAGCGCCCGGGAGAGACAGTAATAATAAACAGTGACTAAACTGTAATAATCAATCCTGTTACTAT